AAGCGTTTCAGCCGACTCGGCTTCAAGCCAGGATGTGTGTTTCTTGGCATCGACGGCGCGGAGGATTCGACATGACGGGTTCTGCTAAACGGGGATGCCTCGGATTTAAGAAAAGACCGATCAATCGCGAAAACACGATGTGGTTCCAGTCTGGTTTCCTCGCTCGTTTCGTATCTGGTCATGTTGACTATGCCTTCCTTCTCCATCTCTGTCTCTCTCGCCCCAATGTCGTCTGAGGCGCGTCGCAATCGCGCTACAGAGCTGAGCCACGCGTCTGCCCCTCCTACGGCTCGATCTGATAAGAAGGCGCGGGAAAGATGAACGAGGCTGGGAATAAGAAACAGGTGACCGAACATGGGCGAAATGGCATCTAGGCCATCCATCCAGTGCATCCAAGCTAAAGCAGCCAGGCCGCGCAGAAAGTGTGGGAGGCAAACGTGAAGCTGGCCAGAGAAGATGGTGTGCAAGGTTGAGCTTGGCTGGTGGACCGCTAAGTTAGTCGAGAGATGGCCTGGAGAGACAGTATGGACGACGGAGGGGGGGTGGACAACGACGACTGCGAAGTTGGCGGGGAGGGTAAGTACGGAAAGCGGTTGATGGAGGGGCAGCCTGGAGGACATCTTGGCTGTTGGTTCTCCCGAAGAGGCCAGGATGATTGGTTTGGGACGTCTCAATCACGGTGGCGCACTGGCCACGCTGCAAATCATGGGTTCAACGACGGCCCACCACTAAAAAGCAGTGCTTTTCCTCTTCGCACAGCATGTGCATGGCATGACATGGCATAGCATGGCTCTGCGGTTGGTTGACTGGGGGTGACCTGGCCAGCCCAGGAAAAGGCAGGATAAGGTGGTGTGGAGGTGTGGGAGAGGGAGAGAGTAAGAAAAAGGAAGAAGAGTCGTGTTCCTTGCCCACGGCTTGGGATGACTTCCTGCTGACCAGGTCGAGCTGTTGTGCGATGAGGAAAGAGACAGGCGGAAGAGAGTTTCCGCGGTCGAGACAAGAGACGAAGAGAGTTGAGAGTGAGATCGGGGGTGTAGTGTGTATGTGCCCACACCTCCAACATCTCGTTTCTCTCCGAGCGAGCCGTGCCAGGCCAGGCCAGACCAGGCCAGTGGCTTGCTTCCACGGGTGGGCAGATGGTATGTACTATGTATGGTCAACGTGTGTTGCGGGCGGCGGAGAGCCGCCGAAGCTGGCTGATGTTCCCGTGGATTCGCAGCCGGTCAGCAGCAGCGGGATCCGTTTCGTCTTAGTAGTATCCGTACGGAGCATTTGTGCTTTCGAGGCGCCAAGCAGGCGGCTTGGGTCTTCGTACGTGCTATCCATGGATGTATTTGCGATTCGCATGGCGCCCTGGCCAGGCTGTCCCGTGTTATCCTGCCCTTGCTGATGCTGCACTGGTGGCCCTTGCTTCCGGGGGCGATGCGATGGGAACGGATGGCCACGCTGCTGGTTGTGAAAGTGGTGGGTGTCCGGGACGAGCATGCTGCCAGGTAGGTGCTGCTGCTACCCAGAGGGCGGTGATGGGTGGCTGTCACTCAAGAGGATGCCGCCGCAACGGCACCCAATGGTCTGGAGAATGGGGAAGACAAAGATGGGAAGGGGCGCGCCCCCCGTCCGCCAGGGGAGTCGTCCTTCACATTGAGCCGGTGAGCGCAGGCTGGGGTGTCTGACAGTGGTGTCGGGGTGTCTGCGATTCTAGGCAGAGTCCGTGGGCGGCTGCTGTGCATCCTCCCGGCTGGCTGGTATGAGTAGATTGGGGTGTTGTGCGTTTGGTTGCGCACCAGGCTGGAATTGACGTGGTGGTGGTGATGATGGTAGAGCGATGGGCAGAAGGGAGCTTGAAAGTTGAATCCTGGTCAATGAGGCGAGAATGTTGTTGTTATGGCTTGGATATTGTCGATGTTGCCAGAAGAAGGATCTCTCCAGCCAAGATATGGATGGCGAGCGCCTCCCGTACGCAGTCCTCTGTGCTCTGTACGGACTTTGAAGATGAAAGAGCGGCAGACTTGGTTCGGTCTCCGTACGGATACCTAGGAAAGCTGAGGAACCGGGGTAAGGTAGCAGGACTGGAGACTGGGACTGGGACTGGGACTGGGACTGGCCCGCTGTGTTTCTTTTTTTCACGGTGCGGGAGCTACCCTTGGATCCTTGCTTACCCGCTCCTGCAGCAAACCAAACACTCATCGGTGCGGTGCCATCCATTTCCCATGTCATGTCCCATTGATTCTTCCATCCTCCCTCCCACCTTCCCAGGCTCCCTCCAAACTGCCTTGCTCTTGTTCCCTTCCCTCGACTCCTCCTCCGCCTGCTACTCGTCCTCCTCCTCCCCTCCCGTGCTTTGCACCTTGTTGGACCCTTCCCGCCCCTGGAATCTCACCCATCACTCTCTTCCTGCCCCTCCCCTCCCTCCATCTCGCGCTGGTGGGTAGTCCCCCCCCCCCCCCCCACGTCCACCCCGACCCAACCCAACCCAACTTGCAGAAGAGCATCGTCCATCTCGTTTCTTTTTAGGAACCCATCAGAACGAAGCCCTTCCGATCTCAGTCGCCTCTCGTTCGCAGCAAGAAAGCAGTACCGTAGCGGCTAATGTACACCGGCGCGTGTCTTACCGCCCGCTGTGGAGAACGGGGTAGCCACCACCAACAATAACCCCATGTGAACACCAACACCCCCCGCCCACTGTACATATGTAAGTCATTCCTTGTCCCGCCCCTCGCTCGACTGCCGGGGCCATTGTACATAGTAGTGCTGCGAGGTGCGGTGCGCGACCACAAGCAGAGAAAGTTGTCCATTCTTTGCTCTGATGCGCGCATTTCTACTATGTGGAGTACACTTTACCATGGATTCGATATCTCCAACGTCGTCCATTTTACGTTTCACTTCTTGCCCTGTGATTGCTCTGCCTCACGGAAGAGGAGGCCTTTGGATTCCTCGGCATACAACACCTTTCGTTCGGTTGCCATGTCCGAGCAACTACCGGTTGACGGAATACCACTTCACGACAGCGATGGACCTTGCTAGAGCCGTTTTGCTACACTTGATCCGCCATTGGCTGCAATACGCTCTCTTCCTCTGTCTTCCATTCGAAGTGCATTGTGAGAGGTGCCTATCCTAATCAACAATGGTAAAACAATCAAGTTTGGCCAACCTCCATAATTTAGCTCCCGCCTCCGCACGGATGCATTTGGGTCAGGACCAAGCCTTGCCTATCCAGTTTCGTCTTCATCTTCCTTTCTTGCACCCTATTTCAGACGACGGGCATCTAGAGGCAGTGCACCATCATGTCGTTTAGCAGTTGATCTATTCAATGCGCTGACTCGGTTTGCGGCGAATGCAACGGCTCTCGGGCCTCCCGTCATCTCCTCGACTGATGTTAGTCTTTGACACTGCAGACACCGATATCCCTAAGCTTTTCAGGGTCCCCAGCCAGCCCACAGACCCCTAGTTTTGGCTCTGCAATGCAGGAAGCCCGGGCTTCCGGCCGAGAGGGACGGCACCTCGAGGCTTGATGGCCGAGTGCCATTGCTTCAGAGTCAAAAGTAGTTTTTCCAACGTCGTCGACTCCCAGTTCGTTGCAAGAGAAAACATTATAAACGTTTTGGGCTGATGTCTCATCTCTTACAGCTGGAACCTTCGTTTCCGCAGCCAAAGTCCGTTTCTCAGACTAGCCAGCCACGAGTTAACGATCATGTCAAGAGTCAGCCTGATGCCGAGCGGAACGTGGCTCGTTTCCGTTATGTGCTTGCTTGTGAGATGGGAAAGGAACGGACCACAGCAGGCCACGCCGCTGACCAAGGTATGAGAGTGCCACCTCCGCTATGCCTGCGGCCAATCCAGGCAAGCAAGAAGCGAGCAATGGCAACATCAGCAGGGTGAAATCCTTTTCGCAGATCATATCATTACCACATAAGCCAATTAATAAGAAGCGCCTGATGATAAGTAAGCGTGGCTGATATGCCCACATTTCGTCCATTCACCGCCACAGTTCACTCTAAAGGTTCAAAGGGAAACGCTGCACGTTGTTCGGGCTGCATGCCTCGTGCGGACGGACTTGTTGGGTGGGGGTTCTGCGAAACGGGAGGTTGTTTCTCGACGTGATGGGATGAAGTAAAGCCTCGTTCGTTTTTTCTCTGTGCGACGGCGAGGTTTCTCTGTGGTAGTACTGTGAAGTGGTACGCGCTTTCTGCGCGCGCGCGATGCGCTGTGCAGGACGGGAACCGGGGAGAAGGGAGAAACAGATGTTCGGGAGCGATGCCGTGCGACGGTTCTGTCGGGGATGGCAGACTCGGGATTCCGGGGAAGTACCAATAGCATTTGCGTTGACGTCGAGGGTTCTGATGACACTGCGACTTGTCTCGCGTCTCCCCAGGCATGAGAGAACCCGATTCCGAGCTTGTCTTGCATTGGCGGCGGCGGCGGGTTCGGCTCGCCGCCTGGTTCCTTCACACGTATGAATGAATGCAAAGACGCGCCTGTTCAACGCGTTCTTCCATCAATTCTGCCATGGGAGGGGCCTTGGCTGGCTGCTCGGGTCTGCCACATCCGGGCTCCCATCAGAGATGACCTGGATTCTCAATGAGGCACGCATTTATGGGATGACGTTGTACCAGAATAGCCTCTGTCTCGCTCAGCTCCGGCGGCGAGATGCATCACGATATCAATCTGGGGAAGCACAGCAGTAGGCGTCATTCGGAATGGAAGGCGAGGCGAAGGGATTCTATGTGAAGTAGCGGTACGTGACTGGCGTAAGGTAGGTACCTAAGGTGCCTGTGGGTAGTGTTATCGATAGGTATGACAGTGTTGGCGATAAGCATGGCTTCCCGATAAGAGCTTGCAAGCGCCACAACGCGCGCCTCTGATTCGTTTGTCAGCCGCCCCGCGCCTCACCTACATCAATTTTCATCACCATCAGCCTCAACAGGAAGGGGCGACGACATACTCATCGCCTGCACCACCAACTCACCTCAACGTCAAGATTTCCACAGGGGAAGTACATCATGACGAGTCTCAAGCGCTCGTTTGAGGCGGATCCCTTTGCCGCGAACATCTCCAGCAAGGTCTATGTCCGTTCTACGAGGAAAGGCAAGGTTCAGAAGATTGTGAGGGAGGTCTACCTGCGTCAAGATATCCCCTGCTCATCTAAGCTTTGCCGGAGCTGCCTGCAGACGGCCCCCAGAGATGCGGCCAACAACAGTGAGTGAGACATGTCTGCATCGACATGAGCTGTACGCTGATAAGACCCCCCAGTCCAACCATTCGTCCTCTCGGACAAGCCCGCCGGGACCAAGGCGTTCCCTCAGGGGCACTATATCGTTCCAGACACCAATGCGCTCCTGAACGCTATGGATCTCTTCGAACAAGGCTCTGCATTTTACGATGTCATCATTCTGCAGACTGTTCTCGAGGAGCTGCGCAATCGCTCGCTACCGCTATACAACCGTCTCGTCGGCCTGACCAAGAGCGAGGACAAGCGCTTCTATGTCTTCTTCAACGACTTCCGTTTGGAGACATACGTCAATCGCAAGCCTAACGAGACCGTTAACGACCGAAATGACCGTGCTGTACGCAAGGCTGTCAAGTGGTACGCCGACCACCTGGCGCAAGCCAAAGCCAAGAGCGTCCCTGCCGTTGTCATGCTCAGTGACGACCAAGATTGCTTGAAGAAGGCTAAGACAGAGGGTGTCGCTGCCATGTCTCTGCGTGAATACGTTGGAGGCCTTGAAGATAGCGACAGACTGCTGGACATGGTTGCCGAGTCGCGAAACTCTGACTTTTCCAAGAAGCCCAGCGGGCCCTTGTACGCGGAATACTACAGCATGTCCAAGATGATGACTGGTGTCAAGGCTGGATTGATGCACCAGGGTAACTTCAATGTCTCTCCTTACAACTATCTGGAAGGTTCTATCAACGTCCCCGCCTTCCCGAAGCCTCTTATTGTGCTGGGAAGAGAGAACATCAACCGCGCAGTCAACGGTGACGTCGTAGTCGTCGAGGTTCTGCCCAAGGACCAGTGGAAGGAGCCTTCCACAAAAATCATTGAGGAAGAGGCCATTACCCGCGACGAGAATGCCGATGCCGAGGAAGCTCAGGACTTTGTATCTGAGAAGGAGCGCAAAGCGCTGCAAGAGGAGGTCAAGAAGACACAGAGCAAGAGCACCGAGGGCCGGGCACAACCAACAGCAAAGGTTGTTGGCATAATCAAGCGTAACTGGCGTCAGTACGTCGGACATATCGATCCGTCATCAGCAAGCAAGAGCGGCGGCCAGGGCCGTAAGCAGGACAACGTCTTCCTCATTCCCATGGACAAGCGCATTCCCAAGATCAAGCTGCGCTCAAGACAAGTCTCTGAGCTCCTCGGCAAGCGTCTGTTGGTCACAATCGATGCCTGGGAGCGCGACTCAAGACATCCTGTCGGCCACTTTGTTCGTTCCCTGGGTGAGCTCGAGACCAAGGCGGCAGAGACGGAAGCCCTTCTCCTGGAGTACGACGTCCAGTACCGCCCGTTCCCCAAAACCGTTCTGGACTGCCTGCCAAAGGAGGGTCATGACTGGAGGGTTCCTCAGAGCACGGAAGATCCAGGCTGGAGGGACAGAGAGGATCTTCGCAAACTCCTCATCTGCAGTATTGATCCCATTGGTTGCCAAGATATCGACGATGCTCTCCACGCCAGGCCACTTCCCAACGGCAACTTCGAGGTGGGCGTGCACATTGCCGACGTATCTCACTTCGTCAAACCCGGAAACGCCATGGACACTGAGGCTAGCTTACGTGGTACAACCGTATACCTTGTGGATAAGCGTATTGACATGTTACCCATGCTTCTCGGCACTGACCTCTGCTCGCTGAAGCCGTACGTCGAGCGCTACGCCTTCTCCTGTATCTGGGAGATGAACTCGAACGCAGATGTCGTCAGCGTTCGGTTCACCAAGTCGGTGATCCAGTCCAAGGAGGCCTTCAGCTATGAGGCGGCACAACTTCGTATCGACGACGGCTCCCAGCAGGACGACCTTACGAACAGCATCAGAACGCTTCTTGCACTGTCCAAGAAGCTGAAGCAGAAGCGTATGGACGCCGGCGCCCTCAGCCTGTCTTCTCCCGAAGTCAAGGTCCAGATGGAGTCCGAGACGTCAGATCCCATCGACGTCAAAACGAAGCAGCACCTCGACACCATGTCTCTGGTCGAAGAGTTCATGTTGCTCGCAAACGTCAGTGTAGCTACCAAGATCCATGAGGCCTTCCCTCAGACCGCCATCCTCCGTCGTCACGGTGCTCCCCCCAAGACCAACTTTGACGAGCTTGCAGACCAGCTGCGTGTGAAGAAGGGGCTCGAGCTCCGTGTCGACTCTAGCAAGGCCCTTGCCGACTCCCTCGATACTTGTGTCGACCCAGCCAACCCCTTCTTCAACACCCTTGTCCGTATCATGGCCACTCGTTGCATGATGAGCGCCGAGTACTTCTGTTCCGGAACCCAGGCCTACCCTGAGTTCCGCCACTATGGTCTCGCCTCCGAGATCTACACCCATTTCACCTCTCCCATCCGTCGTTACGCCGATCTTGTGGCTCATCGCCAGCTCGCAGCCGCCATCGGCTACGAGGCCATCCACCCGGCTGTCCGTAGTCGCGGACGTCTGGAGGCAGTCTGCAAGAACATCAATGTCCGCCACCGCAATGCACAGCTTGCGGGCCGCGCCAGTATCGCGTACTACGTCGGCCAGGCGCTCAAGGGCAAGGTCGCCGAGGAAGAGGCGTTCGTGATGAAGGTGTTCAGCAACGGCTTCGTGGTTCTTGTGCCGAGGTTCGGTATCGAGGGACTCATTCGGCTCCGGGACCTTGCGGAGACGGAACCTGACAGTGTCTACGATGCGGAGAACTACACGCTCACGACGTCGGGTAGCCGCAAGCTGAAGGTGGATCTCTTCCAGAAGGTCAAGGTCAAGGTCACTGATGAGAAGGACGAAGCCACCGGCAAGAGAGGTGTCAAGATGGAGCTTGTCAGCGCATGAGGTCTGAAACGGTTAAGAGCGGCATAGGAAAAGTTAACGGTGTTTTCTATTTCGTAATGTAACGTAGGAGACGGCATGGCGCCGCTGATAAAGGCTCGAGAAAATGCATAGCCCTCATGTTTTGAATTTTGTGACTTGAATCTCGGCAACCACCCTGTGCCGGTCAAGGTAACCCGTCTGCGCCTTGACGCCAGTCACACAACTGCCTACTATCCACACGGCAGACGTTTGTTTTTCATGCAAGCGAGAATATGGACCGACGTTGATTTCTTACTTTTGAATCCAAACAGCGCAGTGCTGTGTCTCTTAACCCCATCGCTCATCCCTATCACCACTTCTGCATGGCTTGAAACTGGAGCTTGACGCTTCTCTGCTCGAAAACAGGCAGTAGCCCCAATTTCGGAATCGAACAAAGTGCTACTGTTCGGCTAGAATAGTGTTCTGAAAACCGTCAAGGGCAGAGCGCGGCATCTTGTGAAGTTGATGGATTACGGAAAGCAACATCCTCTTGGTGTCAAATAAGCTAACTAGGGTTAGAATCCGATCTCACCCCTGATGAAGACGGGCCAGCAACCCATAGCGCACAGCGATGCTTGTCTCTCACAATAACGTGGATGGGTGGAGGGCGTCCAGGGAATCATGGGCGGAAAGCAGACAGGTGAAAAGCCTCCTGGATTTGGCTTTTCTAATTACAAGTGAGTTTCAGAGGATGTCACCATGTCCACCAGATAAGTCAGACCAGAACAGGCAATTCCGTGCTGAGAAATGAAGAGTTGAATGATTCTTCCCGTGGGCGGGCTCCGACCTCGCCCTTTTCCAGTGGCCGCTCTTAATCTAGAACGACAAATGGCTAGTACGAACATCACAACAGTCATTTGAACCCGGAGGCAAGGGCGGATGAGCATATGTGAATGAGGGCCAACGTGTTTTGATGGTCACTGCCCCTTTTTATTCTTTTCCCCTAAACCGCCCCAAACGCCGGGTAAATAGACGAGACAGCTAGGCCATGATGAAGAAAACCACAACGCATCTATACTCTTTTGATATCATGCTCCGCCCACACCCAAGATCTACTCATTATACCAACCAAGGCCTACTGCTCCATGGCATCGTCTCCAGCAGTAGCAGCCGCGCCTAGATCCGCGAAGAGGTCGTCAATGTTGAACTCCTTGGCCCATTCCGTGACGATAGTCTTCTGGTCAGGAGCAGCAGCGTCATCGGCAACAGGAGCAGTGGCAGCGGCATCCTTGGCGTCGCCCTGGACAGCGAGCACAGGTGCCTCAACCCAACCCTGGATGCGTCCGTCACGCCAGTCCGTAACCACAGTCATGGCAGCAGCGGCGATGTTGGGAACACCACCGCGGCCAAGACGTCCGCGCTTGCGAGCAACCTGCACCAGAAAGTCCGTCGTAAGGTCGCCATCGGTGCGGCTGGGCATGAGAGGAGGCAGGTCGTACACATCCGTCAGCTTCTGCAGCAGGTCCGGGGTCGCGGAGAGACGGCGCAGTAGCAGTGTGACGGCGGGAACCGGGTCGTCGATGTTCTTGGGGGGCACGGCGTTAAGGAGGACGAGGTGGGCGTGGGCGTCGGTAGAGTTCTTGAGCGACACGAGGCCAGACGAGGAAGTGTTAGAGGCGGAGGGGAAGACGATACCGGGGGAATCGAGGAGGGTAAGCTTGCTGTCGATCTTAACAGCGCGGATGCTCGTCGTGACACCGGCCTCGGCGCCGGCGGGGCAGGCCTTGGAAGAGCCGCGAGCGCCACTGAGGCGGCCCAGGAGGGCGTTGATGACGGAAGACTTGCCGACATTGGGATAGCCAATGACACCAACCGACACGGCGCGCTTGAGCTGTCTCGTCGCAGCGTACGACTTGAGAGCACGGAAGAGGTCTGCAGAAGTTTTTTGCACGGTGAGCTCCTTGTGGTTGAAGGTCTGCGCATTAGGCGCCGGGTTGGACGCGCGCAGGGGCAGAGTCGGGAAGTAGCGGCGCAGGTGTGTGAGCCATGCCTGGAGGGTCTTGGGGGGCACAAGATCGATCTTGTTGACGATCAGAATCAGACGCTTGCCGCCGTTGGCGGCGGCCATGACACTGCGCTCGACGTCGCGGGAGCGGGTGGATTCCGGGTCGCGGGCGTCGAGAACGTAGAGGATGACGTCGGCTTGTTCGACAACGTTCTTGAAGACCTTGTCAAAAGCCTTGCGGGAAGTCGCATTGCCAACAGCAATCTCGGCCGGGGCGTCCGAGTCGTCTGAATCCTCGTCATCGTCCATCTCGTCGTCGTCGACGTCGCGCAGGTCCTTCTCGTAGCTCTGGGCGGCGGCTCTGGCGCTGGCGAGCAGCGCAGCCATGGGGTTCGACTCGTCCACGTCCTCGTCCTCGTCCTCGACCATCATGTCGTCGTCCTCCTCCTCACCATCCTCGGCCATCTCGGTCGCATCAGCATCTTCAGCGGTAGCGACGCCGGTCTTGGCCGCCTTGGCCAGCTCGCGACGCTTTTGCGCCTCCTCGGCCTTGCGTAGCTTCTTCTCCTCAATCTCCTCGAGAATCTTTTCCTTGTAAGGGAACAGGTTGGGAATTCCCGGGTCCTTCTTGAGCTTGGAGCGCCATTCGGGGTTCTTCTTGGCGAGCTTTCTCTGTTTCCTCTGCTTGGCCGCCGACGCCTTCTCGATCTTGTGGCGAAGGCGGACGGGCGTCCTCTTGGACTTTGGCTCTGCGATATGGTTAGATGCAATCTATCAAGATTAGAAAGTTTCAACGTACTCTTGGGCTTATTGATTGATCCGGCCATCTTGGAAAGCTGTCCGCGCAGAAAGTCGACAAGATGTTGCGTCGGAGGACGTTGTACTTGCTGCCGGGTCGCGACGAAATTTCCTACATACCGGCTTTGCGGTGGCCCAGTGCTTTCAAAAATTTAGTGGGAGGTCGGTTTCTGCCGGGTCTCACCGCTCGTTATCTCTATCAGACCCCCACCAGAGCCTCTCACCGCCCTGAGCTAGTCCTATCATGGAAGCCCCGCCAACCCGAGGGGCTGCCGTCCAGCCCGTGCAGTTCGTTGCGGGTACCCCAACCACGATCAACGTGCTGGGACCAGTGGACCGCAAGCGCTGACGAGGCAATGTTCGGCGGGCATGTCCGCTGTAAGCACGATTCCTGCCCGCTAAAAAAAGGTGTAAGAGCGTGTGACTCTTGCAGCGGATTACCAGACTCGTCGACGCCGACTTGCACTGGTCGTTTTCCATGTCACACAAAGAGTCATCCTGCCTCATCAACTCCAACTGGCTTCATATCAACTTACTTATCGACCGAAAGTCCTGCACCTGTACCACTCTGCATATATTTGAGACGCAAAGACTCTGGCGAACGAGCGTTTTAACTTGTCAATAAAACTAGATTATCACTTTTACACGTCTCTCGCATACTTGAGTAAGTTTTCGTACTGCTTAGAGCCCATGATCTTGACATTGACAACTCCGAAGCTCTCAACATGTCGTACACAGCCCCTCCGCAACGCATCACCTTCGATGGTTTTCTATTCGATATGGACGGCACTATCATCGACTCAACTGAGGCCGTCGTCAAGCACTGGCAAACGTAAGTAGCCAAATATCATCGTCATCAACCAGCTGCCCCTTGCATCAACTCTCTCCCCTCTCGTCTCCCCCGGTTTAGAAGAACTCCACTAACACATGAACCCCCTTTTCTCCCTTGCAGAGTCGGCAACGAAATAGGTGTCGCACCCGAGGTTATCCTCGAAACGTCTCACGGCCGCCGGAGTATCGACATCTTGAAGATTTTGGCCCCTGAAAAAGCAAACTGGGAATGTGAGTCCTCAGATCTCCTCTGCTCGGTCCCCTTGCTTCCCACTCCACCGTCCTGTCCCATCCACCCACCGCTCCTTTACCCGCACAAATTCAGGTTGTCGTCCGAGCCACCGGGCAAGCAAGGGGCTTGTCAGGTACAAGAACAAAAGGCTAACTTTCCATCGCAGACACCCGTGAGATGGAGGGCCGACTTCCGAAACTGTACGGCAAGGACGCCGTCGAGATCCCGGGAGCGAGGGCACTGCTGGATGCCCTAATCAAGGAGAAGGCTCCCTGGGCTATTGTCACGTCGGGAACTGAGCCCCTCGTTGGCGGATGGCTCGAGGCCCTCGGCCTGCCCAAGCCCGAGCACCTCGTAACCGCCGAGTCCGTCGAGAACGGCAAGCCGGACCCAACCTGCTACAAGATCGGCCGCGAAAAGCTCGGTCTGCAAGACGCGTCTAAGCAGGTTCTTGTCTTTGAGGACAGCCCGGCAGGCATCAAGGCCGGCAAGGACGCTGGATGCAAGGTGCTTGGCCTCGTCACAAGCCACACCGTTGAGCAGGTTGTCAGCGCCGAGCCGGACTGGATCGTCCAAGACCTGGACTCAGTCAGGCTCATCGAAGTCAAGGGGGGTTCCATCGCCTTGGAGTTCTCCAATGCCCTGGTGTCGGAGGTATCAGCTGCCTGAGGAATGGAGGCTCTGCTAATGAACCAATAGACTAGAATAGACCTCTCTACAATAGATTACAGCATTCAAATGCTATTGCTCGTGGTGCCCCTCTCGTTCGATAGATCTGGACGAACTAGGTTGCTAAGGGGTGAGCGTGTCTGGAGCCAACTGGACCGATGGTGAGATGGCCCAGAGACAAGAGTCTACCTCTGGGTTGACTTCTCCTTTCACCTGCTCCTGGAAAGACATCATGGAACTTCATACAAAGAAGCGAGCGTCAAGCAAGCAGCCTTCCGCAGATCCGAGGATGGCAATTGCTTCACCAGCCAGAAGGATCTTGAAGGAACCCAATGTCTACTCAGGAACAGACAACAGTGTAACGACAACTGCAAGGCACCTTCCGAATGAACCCGGTCTGGGGTAAGTTGAGAAGGCCGCGGGCCCAAGACATGTGTCTCTTCGGTCCGGAGACGACACACGCCGCCTGTTGTGTGTCCATGGCGTGCAACCTCAGTGTCCAAGAATATCTTGCTCCGGCCGAGTCTGTGATGCACCAACTTTCATTTGATTGTCTCGAAAGTTGATTCACATGACAACTGCGAGATTGGTGTCCCGTTTACATCATACAGTGCATGAACCATACCTTGAACCCAGAACCCGAGCCGACGGGCCTTCGCAGGATCAGACAAGACAACCCGCTGGTTTAGCCCGGTTCTCCCCTTCGCCGAGCAGGAGATCAACTAGTCTCACGTATCTGAGTCCGGATGCCCCTAAAAGCAACATTTACCAACCGGCCAGCCCAATCGCCGCTCACGATGAGAGACAAGGGGCAAAAGCAAGCGTCCTCTCCAAGGATTGGATGCGTTTCACAGCAGAGTCGTATAAGGAACTTTACCAAGTTGCCGAATCCTTCCGGATGCCTGTTGTCCAACTTGTGCAGAAACTACACGATACCGACACCATGGTTGTGGCGCAACTTTGCATAACCGCAGGACGACATCGGTATTGGCACAAGAGAGAAAAAAAGTTAAGGAGAGACAGCGGGTTGACGAGTTAAGGGAGGCTGACTGCAAGCTGCGCTGCTGCAAGGCCCCGAGCGTACGACTGTTTTGCTTGTCAGCACGCAGTTTGCCCTGACTGACGGTCCGGTTACATGCAGGCCAGCAACGTGCACGCAGACGAACACGCGTGATGTGAGAGATGAGCCAAGTGACATCTATAATCAGCATCTTGCAGTATATCCTAGAGATCCTCACTCCCCCTTGGGTCCCAACCGGCGATGTGTGTAACGGTCTGGGTCGCACGAAAAGTCGGGCTGACCCCGAGTTGTTCATCTTCATTGGCGAAGGTTGGACAGCAGCGGAAAGTATTCCTCCCCATCACAGAGCTTTTTTTTTCTTTTTTTTTCTTTCGTCATCTCCAACGCCTTTCTTGTTACATCATTGGATCTCACCACTTGGTCCCGACGGCCTTCTAGAGTCAGCGATTGTTGGTTCCCTAGGTGGCTGCGCCTTCATTGGCGGTAGGCGCCCGACGATGCTATTTCGACACGTATCACGGCATACGCCAACTCCCGCACGGGGGAAGTATGCAGGAACAGCCCGTCAGACTAAGCCATGCCGGGCGCTGGCCGCGAGGGACGATTTGGTAGGTTAGGTATGATAAGAGGTAAGATTATTGCAAGAGGGGGGAAAAACAAAAGTGATGTTTTCCCAGTAACGCGGCTTGAATGTGGCTGAACAGCCCTGTCAGGGGCAATGAATGCCACCGGCAGTTGTGGGAGGCTGCAGGTACACACATTTTGGGCAAACTACCTTAGCTGCGTGAAGCCGCAGGCGGTGGTGGAGGCAGCGGTGGTTGCGCCAACGACAGACACCGCCACGCCTTCAAGTTCGGAGAAGGCATCTCCATCTGGACTGGCAGTCGTGTGCCAATCTCCATCATGGTGAAACGGAGATTGTGAATCATGTAGTTATCAAGCCCGCAGCGCGCCGCGACGCTTGCCTAGACGATGAGGCCGGGGGAGATATTCCCATATGGCCGGGCTGGGCTGGGCTTGGGCTTGGGCTGGGTTGTGTTGGGCGGAGGCTCCCATGTGGCTCGGTTTAGGGGTGGGCTAAGGTAGAGTCCGACAGACTGACAACAGACCGGACTCACAGCGCCAGGAGCCAGACAGTCGGGTCGATTGGACGGTCGGGAAACGAGGCTGGCTGTCAGGGAGATAGAAGGGGTGGAAAAACCACCTACACTACATAGTACTCATGAGCGACAGCCCGTGGTGTTCGTTTCTACACCATCTATCCGTACGGATACTTACCGTGGCGACGGCGACGGCGACGGCGACCGCTGCTGTTTCGTCGTCCTTGACTCTTTCGCTACGGTTTCACGGATGGTCTGGCGATATCCGTAGATGGGGGGGTGATGTTTTGGTGCCTTGTATGATACCATGATGTCCTCCCTCCCCCTCCCTCCCCCTCCGTGCCACTTCACTTCGCGCGGCGGCCGTAGGTTGTGCTCCGTCGGGACTCACTCGGCAGCGGAGCCGGACACAGCCTGACTCGAGATGACCATGTCGGGGAGGCTGTGCTAAACCCAAGCGAGCGAGAAGGAAATTGTGCAGTCGTAGAAGATGGGTCACCTGGGTTTGGTGGAGACGGACGCGCGCGCCAGCCCGGTCAACAGCGGGTGCAGCACGCGTCGTCTCTCGACGTTTTCCTTTTACGGCCGTGACCAGGACCCTTGACCGAGTTTAATGAGGGAAGCATGGGCCCGAGGCTTGCGGGCAGGGGCCGCGATGGAAAACCAACAGCGGTGGCCCCTTGTCGGCAGAAACGAATACAACTTGCCCTCTCAGCTCTGGAGTCTGTGCCTGCTCTCTCTCTCTCAGTCTCTCTCTCCAGTGCGTGCTCCACACGCAGGGGCAGGGTCGGCATCTTGTCCATCTCATCAGTCGTCACGGTCGGCGCCGCACGTGGCCGCCGGGGCCCGATTTTGATCCTAATCTCATTCTCCCCGTTTGCCGCCGTTTCCACCTTTTGAATCTTGATGAGGATGCCATGCCCCCATCATCCTTGTGCACTGCTGTTGTGTTGTTGGCGTTGGCCGCGTTGGTGGTGGTGGGTGGTGGCCTGTCTTCAGGTTGCAACATCCCCAAGGATCCAAGCCACGCTGTATCCGTACCGTACTCTGTACCGTACCTCGTATATCGTCATTGCCGTTTGTTGAAATCAATGCCCTTTGGGACACGCACCTGCACGTCCAGAAAGAAAGAACAACGACCGACTTGAGCGGTTGGGTGATAATGCCATCCATCCA